CATGAAGTATCACCTAGACACATGCGAATGTTGCAAATGCCTGCCATATCACCAGGCTAGGGATTGACACAGCTGTCGTAGAGAGCTGATCCCGTATACATTCAGGCGACTGGATTCGAACAATAGCACAATTGCGGCGGAGTTTGGTTGGTTTCCCCGCAAAGCTTTCGCCAAACTCCTTGAGATCTGCATTTTTTAAGGGTCCTGTCGAGTTCAGAATGACAGTGACGACTATCCAGGCTCATATTGCATAACATTTCGAAATTGAAGATGTGCTGTACAGTTTTTCTTTACTGAAATTTCAGTTGTTCCGTAGGGAATGTTTCAAGGGGAAGAGGGACGATGAGTCCTGACAAGTTGAGGTTAGGCTCAGGTGTAGTATAAGTCGTCGAAGCTCAATGGTCCCAGTAGATTTTGCCGCACTATTGAAGGTTTCGAGCAAATATCATCCGTTACTTCTTCGATCTGTGAAGAGGGCATCGTTAGTTGAGAGTCCCCATTTTGGGAAGGCACGACGTGAACTTGTATCTGAAAAAAAGGGAAATTGAGTTGAGATTGTTGACGACTAGGAACAAGGTCGAAGGGTGTGAAGGAGAAGGGTCGGCTTAACGATAACAGCCGGGTCCTTCTAGAATTCACAGAATAAATCACAGAATTCTTCTAAGGAGTGCTATGTACTTCATAGAGTGTTCTGGGGAATTTCACCCAGAGAAGGTCCGAAATATGCCATGGGATCAAACTTACAGAAGTATTATGAGTAGTGCTCTTATACAGTTCCTCTTTCAGAGGATTGATGGGGGACTGAGCCTGTAGCTTTCACCTGGTCTCCCTGTTGATCCACTCGTAGTTGCTTCTTTTGAGGTTGTTCGACAGCTTCAACGTCTTCAGATGCTTGCTTCACTCGTTCCAACGCACCGGTTCTTATTGCTTTTGAGACCATAGCTGAAAGAGTTCTGATTACTACTTTGTACAATTAAAAACTACCGATTAAACTGAGGCTGACAGACGTGGTAGCAATCATTGCCTGCATAAACCATAAAAAAGACAGTCAAAGTTGGCTACGGTTTTATACTCAGGATCGAACAAATGGAATTCAGTCAGTGAAAAGGCCGAAAACAGTGTCTTGGACATCGTTTAGCTCGTTAGGAATAGTGGTGTAGGCCAAACACTCGAATGGATTTTGGTTTCCTGGATGGATGCCATAAATTTTGAAGGAATTGGCCGGCAGCACAGTTTACCGTATGTTCCAGGGATAGAATTTAGAAGCTGGTTCGGGGCTGGAGCCCGGCTCTGAGGCAGTAGAAAGGCCATCTTGAGCAGTTCGGCTGTGAAAGTTGGACTTTGATTGGAAGATGTCTATACTATGTAGAACTTCATTATTGAAGGAACATTTAGACTTTTTTTCAATGATAGCTAGCTATCTGAGAGTACTTTTCGGTGAGCGAACGAGATAGTTAACGGTTCTTCTCTACAAGGTTTGGAGAGCCACTGACAAAACTTGGGCCTCGGACGGGACTTTGTGCCATCAGGGCACCCTTATCCCTTCCACTACGAACCGCCGAGACACTGCTCGACCTCGTTTTCTTCTTCTTCCTACAGGTT